ATCCCCAGCCTGTGCTGCTCCAGGTGTGCCCCACACTGTTCCTGCAGGGCTCTGGCTGTTGGTGCTCAGTCTCTCTGATTTTAAACGACTCCAGTTCCACGGGAGGTGTTTGTTGTGACCCCTCCAAACCCGCAGGTGACTCGGGGGATCCCCCTCTGCAGAAACACGGGGTGTGAATCTCGAGTGTTTTCCTTGGGGTTTCTGGACACACTCACCAGCACTGAAATCATTCAGGGAAACAATCATTCCCCCTCAGTCTGATCAGTCTCTGTGCTTTGTTTATCTCTGGATTTGATTTTTGTATTTTATTATTCCTTTTTCTCCTCCCTCCCGTTCCACAAGGAAATGATAATCAGTAGATGTTGTGTTTCTGTCAGACTAATAAAGAGCAAATCTGACAAGCTTTGCTTCTGATTTCATTGTTCTTTTTTTGGCTGTTTGTTGTTCACTCTGAGGCCTCGTTGCTTGTTCCTCCCTGGCCTTTGATGATCCAAACTGAACCCTAATGAAGTGGGCAGAGCGTTGCATGAAAACAATTCCAAGGCCTTTATATTTGTTCTGGAAATATTGCCAGAAAATTCACCTATAAACAGGAAAATATATCAGGAATCGTAAGGCCATGGAAAGACCCAGGTTGTTCTGCAGTTCATTTCAGGGCTGACAGTCCCAGCTCATCGAGGGATCTCTGTGTCGGCAGCTTCACTTGTCCCACCACTTCAGTCCTGATTTGCTTTTAACCACTTTTGAGAGTCTCTGGAGTTACCAAGCCGCTTCTAAATTCTCTGAATCACCAGTTTCTCAACTTCTGAGTAGTTTAAAGCCTTCGCTGTGGGACAGCTGCTACGTTCAACCGAAGGCTGGGGGGGCAAAGGAACAAGAAGTTCAGTATTTCGAAGCTGTTTTGGTGTCTCATTGCTGCCCTTAAAAGTGCACTGAGGACAAATGAAGTCAGTGAGAAGTTCTGGAAATGGTTTCAATCTAAATGAGGAAAATGAGAGGATTCTAAAGGGTTTGGGGCAGGGAGGCAGCCCCTGGGAAGCGCTGGATGTCCTGGCTGTGTGCAGGATTAGCAATAACTGAGCCGTGGCTGTGCTCGGTGTTTTTAGCAGAACTAACTCTGAGGCGATGGAGGAATTCACGTTCTAGTTATCCCTTTCCAAGGGAGAAAGACACTGCTGAGTCCCCAGGAAAGCCAAAGCCCTCTGGCTGCGTGGCCTGTCCTGCACAGTTCACCTCGCGCTGGCCGGGCTGGGTCGTGTTTTGAGCTCTCGTGTCTCAAAAGCCGTGCCGAGGCCGCAGCCGCAGCGTGTCCCGCTCTGTCCGCAGCTCCCCCCTGCTGAAGCTGCCGCTGCCGGGGACGGGCCCGGTGGAGTTCAGCACGCCCGTCAAGGATTACACCCCCCCTGCGCCGGGCAGCGCCGTGCCAGCCGGGGAGCCTGCCGAGAGACCCGACTGGGTGAGTGCTGTGGGATGGGCATGGATCTGCTGTGGGATGGGCATGGATCTGCTGGGCCCTACTGCTGTGGGATGGGCATGGATCTGCTGTGCCCTACTGCTGTGGGATGGGCATGGATCTGCTGTGCCCTACTGCTGTGGGATGGGCATGGATCTGCTGTGCCCTACTGCTGTGGGATGGGCATGGATCTGCTGGGCCCTACTGCTGTGGGATGGGCATGGATCTGCTGTGGGATGGGCATGGATCTGCTGTGGGATGGGCATGGATCTGCTGTGCTACTGTGCCTTCCTTCTGTGCTGCTGTGCCTTCCTGGAGCAGGACTGGGTATCCCTGCCGTGCTACTGTGCCCTCCTGGAGCAGAGCTGTGCCCAGGAGGCTGCTCTGCCCTGTCCCTGGAGGTGGCCGAGGCCAGGCTGGCAGGCTGGGAGCAGCCTGGGGCGGGCAGTGAGTCTGGGGGGGTTCCTGCCCCTGCTGCCCCTGCTGCCCCCGGCGCTGCCCGGGTTCTCTGCCACTCTGAGGGACGTCACTTGAGCGCAGAGCAGATTCACACGGAATCACAGAGCCCTGTAGGTTGGAAAAGGCCTCCAAGATCATCTAATCCCACCTGCCAGCACAGACTGGGGGGGTCTGCAGCACCATGAGGTGTCTGCGAGAGGCAGTGAGTCCCTGCTTCTGCCTTCCCTTCCAGGACCAAAGGCAGCAGGAATGGCAGCCCCTGCCTCCCACAGGGGTGCCCCTGGCAGCTGCCAAAGTGATCAGTGGCATTTTGCCTCTTGGAGTGACACCCTTTCTGTTTCTGCTCGTTAGTCCTGTCGTGTTCCCCCTCTGCTGAGGGAAAGGCACACAGCCCGGTGCTGCCATTCCCAAGGGGTGCCAGGCTGTGCCTGACCCTGCTGGGAGCTTCCCTGTGCCCAGAGCCTCACTGTGCCCCTGTCCCCCCGCAGTACGTGGGTGCTCCCGTGGCCTACATCCAGCAGATCTTCGTGAAGGCCACCGTGTCCCCGTGGCAGAAGAACTTCCTGGCCGTGGATGTGTTCCGCTCCCCGCTGGCCCGCGTCTTCCAGCTCGTGGAGGAGGTCAGGAACCACGCCCTGAGGGACAGGTGAGGCACAGGGACCCGCTGCTGGGCACACCTGGCTGTGAATCGCTGCCTCGGGGTCCGAGGGTGAGCTCTGACTGGGCGACACTCAAAATTAAAAGGAAAATGAGGGAGCGGTGCTGACAAGGGGTATGGGATCCATCCTCACACAGCACAGTTCCCATTTGTGCTGGAGAACTTCCCTGTCCGCCAGATAAGTCACTGATAATCCTCAGGAATCCTCTGGTCAGAGTCCGGAAGGGGCCTCCAGGGTGATCCCTGTTAGAGCAGGTTCATTGTCACAGAATTCCTTCTCAGCCACACCAGGTCTGAACCACAGTGAGTTCCTCTGTCCTTGCCACGCTCCTTGGAATTCCACGTGGGCAGGAGCCTTCTCCTGGCTCTCACTTCAGCTGTTTTTAGGACTGGTTTATACCAGCTTGGTTTTATCCTGCCGCAGTCTTTATACAGCAGTGATTTTCCCCTGCTTCCAGATAATTCCAGGGAGAACTCACACTCCCCACTCTGAACCTGTGTCTGTTAAGCCAAACATAAAACTCCTGGCTCGCTGGAGATGCTCAGCATTCCATGTGCCATCCTGGGCCCTCCCCTTGGCACTGTTGGTGTGGCACTGGCAGACGTCCCTGGGTCTTATCCCAGCTTGTTAATAAAAATACGTAATAATCACAGACTGCTGGAATGGTTCAGGTTGGAAGGGACCTCAGAGCCCACCCAGTCCCACCCACCTCCCACCATCCCAGGCTGTTCCAAGCCCCATCCAGCCTGGCCTTGGACACTTCCTGCACCAGTTTTATGTCTTTGCTGTGAATTAAAGCGTTTTCTCTGTGGTGCTGCATCCACAGCTTCAGGGCCCGAGGGGATGAGACCTGCCCTGCCTCCCCCAGCCCTGGCAAGGCAAGAGTGCCTTTTATACACCATAAATTACCCTGGTGGTTTTTCTTTAGTAAATTTTCCATTGAGTTCCACTTCTTTGTCTGAGAATTCCAGGTTTTGTGGAGTTCCTGGCCAAGCTCCTGCCTGGGTTTGCTCTCAAAGGCCAGAGAGGCTTCCCAGAGTGTCCTTTGGTGCTCAGTGAGGATGAAGGTGCTGAGATCATCCCAAAGCTTTCCAGCCAGGAGTTTCCTTCATTCTTTGTCCTGCAGCTCTCGCAGTCAGGGAGGATCCACTGCTCAGCCTCCATTGCTTCGTTCCTGACGTTCCACCTGGCTCCTCTGCCTCGTGATGTTCCCTGCTTTGACCCTGCCCTTCCCCAGCTGCTGCTCCCAGGGTCATTTTTTAGCAATGCCATTTTTACTGTTAAATACAGATTCAGTTGTTTTTCCTCTGCCTTGCCAGCCCCCACAGCCATGGCCTGACCTTCTGTCCATGTGCCCAGTCCCTCTCCCCCGTTATCCTATGGAATGATAATCTGTTCCCAGTTCCAAGGCAGAAACAACTTGCTCCCAGGACTGTGCTGTCCCCTCGTTATCTCTCCCTTGGTTCTCGTTGTATTCTCATTATCTCCCCTTGGGGTTGCCCTTGGTGAGCAGTGATGCAACATGGACGCAACACTATCACTTTTTTAATTTTTATTATTATTATTATTATTGCCAGAAGAAAAACATCTCAGTATTTAGACCCAAACCCTGGGGTAAGGTCACCATTTCGGTGATGGGCTCTGCTACTTCAAGAAAGATTTTTAGGTAAATTCTTGAAGTCATTATGAAGTTCTTGTTGTCAGTTGCTTTTGTCCCTATCAAAGTTGAGCATAAGTTGATTTCCTTGATTTACAGACAGGCTTCTTTTTATCTTCTATTTTATATTCTTTTATCTTCTACTTTATATTCTTTTGTACTGAAGAGCAGGAGGAGCTGTGGTTGTTGAGTGTGACTGGGCAGGACCACCCTGTGGGTGTGTTTTCCTCAGCCCAGGGTGAGCTTTGAGCTCTCTCCGTGTAAACCCAGGAGTGACCTGGGGTTTGTGGTTTAACCCAGTTCCTGCCCCCACAGCATCCCTGCAGGGACACACCAAGTGTGGGGTGTCACATCAAAAGGGGCAGAAGGAAATCTCCATATCTTGGTTTTAACCCTTTTAGCAGTTTCTGGGAATGTCTCCCTGGGTGCTGGGGTTTTCCAGGAAACCATCAGGAGGGGGGTTTATTTCTTTTATTTCTTTTATTTCTTTTATTTCTTTTATTTCTTTTATTTCTTTTATTTCTTTTATTTCTTTTATTTCTTTTATTTCTTTTATTTCTTTTCTGCGGCCTTATCTGTCACCTCACTGGAACCTCACAATATTCCAGTGACAGTTGTGCAGTAGGATGTGATTTTGTGCAGGTGACTCATGGGCTGATTGTTTCACAATGACTCAAATTTTAATAGATAATACAATTACCAGGATGAGAAGCAAGAAGGTTAATATCAATAATACAATAACGGGATGAAGCATTTGACTGAAGATCCTGGCAGCTGCAGGAGACCAGGAAAGGGTGTTCCCCATCCTTTTTCACTCGTTTTGTCACACAATATATTTCTCCTATTTGTGATAGAGAGTAATTAGGTTTTTGTCCATTTTCTTGGGCATCTTTTATCAATTGTTTTAAGTCCTCATCTTGCAACAGTCTCTTTTAGCAGCATGAAATTCGTACTCGTGGGGGTAGGCTGTAACTCCTGAATTAGAATATAATTAGATTCCCAAAATTGGTAATAATTCCAATTGCATTTTGTGATGTTAACAGAATTACACACACAAACATTAGAGTGGTTACTTGTATCCGCAGTGACATTATCTACAAGCACCCAATTAAAAGAAGTTTTATAGAAGTGTATTTTTCATTAAAGAAACAGCTGTGTAAAGTCCCACCCGACGGGTGGCAGAAACCACTAAAAGTAAAAGTGAATCAAGTCAGTTTGCAGAACTCAAAACTGTCCAATTAGCCCTAGACATTGCAGAAAAAGAAAAATGACCAAAGCTCTACCTCTACACCAATTCGTAGATAATGACCAATACCCTATGGGAATAGCTAAACAAATAAAAGAAAATAAATTGAAGACGTAAAAAAAAACCCATCTGAGCTACCGATTTATGGCAAAACATCGCTGCCAGAGCAAAAAAACTGAATGTAAAAATCCGCCACGTAAATACCCATGTGCCCAAAAATGGAACTAATGAAAAACATGCTCATAACAAACAGACAAACCACGCTGCACAAGTCCAAGTGTCACAAGTAGACCTAAACTGGCAGCAAAAAAAAAAAATTGTTCCTAACTCAATGAGCCCATGATGCTTCAAGCCATCAGGGCCGAAATGCCACCTACAGATAAACACGAAACCGAAAGGTGAATATAACCATGAACACTATTTCCCAAATTATTCATGACTGTAAAACCTGTACTGCCATTAAACAAGCCAAAAGATTAAAGCCCCTGTAATGTAGTGAACACTAAGACAAGTATAAATACGAAGAAGCATGACAAATTGATTATATCACATTACCACAAACCCACCAAGGTAAACACTATGTGCTTACCATGGTAGGAACGACTACTAAATAGTTAGAAACATATTCAATGCCACATGCAACAGCCCAAAATACCATTCTAAGTCTTGAAAAACAAGTCCTGTGGAAACATGACACTCCAAACCAAATTGAATCAAACAACAGAACTCATTTCAAAAATAATCTGGCGGCCACTTAGACACGGGAGCATGATATTGAATAAGTATATCACATTCCATATCATACACCCGCTGCTGGGAAAGTTAAAAAGTATAATAGACTGTTAAAAACAACTCTAAAAACACTGAGAGAACTTTCAAGAACTGACACAAGCACTTAGCCAAAGCCACCTGACTTATTAACACTAGAAACTCTGTCAATCGAGCTAGTCCTGCCCAAGCAAAATCCCTCCACACTGTAGATAAAAACAAAATTACAGCAATCCATCTAAAAAATATGTTAAAAAAGGCTGTTTGGATTACTCCTTCCTCAGACCAAGACAAACCCATTCGTGAAATTGTTTTCGCTCAAGGGCCCAAAAATACCTAGTGAGTAATAAAAAAAAATGGAAAAAATCCACTGCGTACCCCAAAAAATTTAACCTTGGAAAAAAACTAATCATGTACTTTAAATTGTGTTTTGCAAGAAACCAGTCACCAGATGAAAAAGGCCTGAACAGTTAATGCCAGTATCCAGTAATAAACCAGCCCAAACCAAGAGACAAACCCTGAAAACCAGAACTGTGATTGTAACCTAAAGACCAAGAATAAAAACCAAACTAATCCTAATGCTAACACTAATTCTTCTACAACAAAATGAGTACTCTAAAGAATGAACAAGGACTATATACGAATATGTATATGTGTATATGTACGCAAAATATAAGTGTTACGTAAAAATAGTATGAAATAAAGAGAATGTGATGGTTTTAGTCTAGGCCTTCCTGGTGACCAGTTTGTAACCAAGGAAGTAGCCAATAGCATCTTAACTGTACATAACTGTAATTTGCGTAAATATAGATATATTTTTATATAAGCAGCTTGACTTTGGGTTCTTTAATTTTTATAGTCCCTTTTCCTTTAACCTAAGGGAAGAAAGCAGGGGGAAGGGGGCTGCTGTCGTAACTTTCGGGCACTTGGCAGGGAACCAAATCCAAACCGTCACAAAGCACCATTTTTAAATTTTTATTGGGAGAAATATTAATTGATCCCAGTTTTGTTCAGTGTCAAGACAGAAATCTTGGGCTGTGACGGCGTCACCTCCACAAATAAATCGTTTTTGCTCTCGTACAGTACATTCACATCAACAGTTTGTTCTTTAAATATTAAATATAAATATGATATTTATCTAATTACAATTACATAATGAAATATGAATGTTTGAGAGCTCCCTTTCAATCCTGTTCTCAGGGTACTGCGCCCCACACATAAGGGTGTCAGGGATGGTGAGCAGGCTGTGTCACTGTGGAAATGTTATTTTGCATCCACAGCTTGACTCACTTGGGAATTGGAGGTCTATTTTATGTGTTTGTACATATATATACATTATATGTTTAAACACATTTTTATGTTTAAACATATTTTATATGTTTAAAGTTATATGTTATTATTTAAAGTTATTATTTATATGTTAAAGTTATTGACATAACTTTAAAATACACCTTTAAACATATAAAATATGTCAATATTCATGCTTAAAAAAAGGAGGCACATATATTTTTTTCTTTTTTTAGTGTAGTTTACAGCAATGTGTAAGATTGTTGTTGTGCATTTGAAGCATCGTTTTTAATTTAGCATCCCATCGAGATGATGTGCTTGTTAATTCCTCTGTGCTGGTCCATTTCTGTTTATAACAAGTAGCTGAAGTGTACTTAGAAGGACACATTTCTTATTTCTGACCACCCCCTCACACATCAATTTTCTAAGATTAAACGACAGTTTTATACCTTGTTTCTGTTATAAACAAGGTGCAAGCACGGATTGTTAAACTTGTTTTTCCCTCTTTTTTTTTGTTTTTTTTCCCCAGTGGATAAATAGCTGTTATCACGTTCTGTTAACAAGGATTGATTAGCTTAGATAAGAGAAGGGAGATAAAAAGTACAAAAATATAAGTATTTTCTTTTTTTAAAAAATGGTTATAGGATTTTTGTATTTTATTTGCAGGTCATATTTGCATCCCGTAGTTGTCTTTCCTTTTGGTTAAGGAAGGAAGAAAAAAAATTAGTTACCTGAGGAAGAACTGGAAAAATTAATCCATATTTATATAACTTCAGATATGCATAAATCTTGGTATCTGCTTCCAAGTCATATTTGGTTGAATTTTAAAATTTTTATTTGATTGGAATAAAGTTACATTTTCATCAGGTGAAAGGTTTTTCCGCCCTGTTCTCTTATTTAATAAAGAGGAAAAAACTTCTTAAAATGTGTACTAACAGTACATAACATGGTTTGGTTTATATAAGTTGGTTAATAGTTGGTCTTCCAACAAGTGTTTCTCGATGAAAACGCAAACACATCACAAGAATTAATAAACTAATCATTTAAAAGTAGTTTTTAATCACTTAGAAAAATTCATCCTACTATAAATCAATCATTAAAAAAAAAAAACAAACCAAGAAATAATTTCTAGAGCGTTGAGTTGGTTGCTGTGCCTGTCACAGGAGTTAAACATTCAAGAGAAGTTCTCTGGCAGTCTCTTCACTGCTCTCTCTGTGCTGGGGGTGTTGCACTCCTGGAGAGGGAGGAAAACTCTAACACAGGAAAACTTGAACAGTTTTGGTTTTTTTTTAGCAGTTAACGCCTGGTTTACCTGCAGCTCCTTTTGTTCCAGGGCTGCTGGGCCAGTGAAAACTCCAGGTTGTTCCCTTCCAAGCAGCTTGTTTTTAGCAACCAGGTGGGAAACTGGAGTTGTGGGTTTTTCTCCTGTTTCCCTCTTACAGGATAACGATAACTTTAATACTTTGCTTTCTGATTTCCAACCCACACATTCAGCATCACCCATCAGTTCAGGAACAGGGGAAATTGTAGATTTCTGTTGTGCACAAAACGCACTTTGTTGTTGGAATTGAAATCCCAGTTTCTCTGTATTTTCTTGCATTTTTGCTTCCTCTGTTGGAGAGCAGGAATCATTGTGCAAAACAGCAATTCTGATTTTCAGTAGAATTAGAGTTTTCTATTATCACAGCAACTATGTCCTTTCCAGATTCCCATCTCTGGGTGAGTTACAGACTTTTGGGGCTGTTTGACACCAACAGGAGTCTTTTCTTTTAGCAGTAGTTGCTCTCTGGGGTTCGCAGGTGGAGTTTTAAGGTGGTCCCAGCATTTCAGAACTTCAGCTTTTTAAAGCATTTCAGTAAATTTGCATTTTTGCAGCAGAATATTCACGACACCCCGCTTTCCTGGTGCCATTTCCTGTCACCTTAAAAGGGGCAGAAAATAAGAACTTTCTGCCCACCCTGTATTAATTTATCAGTGTCTGTCAGTGTCCCCCAGGAGATCAAAGCCTGTTAATGTCCAAAACAGTCTGTTGTCACCTCACCTTTGCTGAACAGATTCCCTGAGAGGACAGGACATTTGATTTTATCCTCCTGTGTAAGAACTGCACCAAACAGCAGTAGGAAACCCCCTCAGCAGGTTTTCCTGGGAGTTATTTCCCCGTCAATTAAACTGCCAGCACCTAAAAACAGCCTCACTCCAACAGTTCACTAAATAACACCGTTATTAATACAAATTTGTGACAGTTAGTGGGGTTCATCGTGTCTGGAACAGGGTCTGACTGCAAAAACAGCGGACTTAGAAACTCTGTAGTGATGATAATAATTATAACACAAAGTGTGGGCTCACATGCCAGAGCAAAAGCAACTTCCAGGGAAGCAGAACAACTTACATAGAATCAGCAAAGCAAAAAACTCAAGTACACCCCATGGAGCAAAAGCAACTGACAGTGAAGCAATGAGTAAAAATGTTGAAGTGCTGTGGAGCACGAGTAAACTCAGTGTCTGTGTCTGGAGAATATCTCAGCCCAGGGCAGCCAGGCAGTTCCCTCTGCAGCGTGGGTGGAACTTCTCCAGGATTTCTGCTTGGGTCCAATCTCTTTTTATCTTTTTATACCATTTTCCTTAGGCAGTTTGAGTGGTTGTAGTCAGCAAACTAATTTTGGGGTGACAGACAGATGAAATAGGCCCAAGGGTCCAGTTATCCCCATTTCTTCCTTTTAATCCTTTTATCAGTTTCTGGGAATGTCTCCCCAGGAGCTGAGATTTTCCAGGAAACCATCAGGAGGGCTGTTTTCTTCTTTTTTGTGGCCTTATCTATCACTTTACATATGGTCAGCTGGCTCTTCCTTGGAGCTGCTGCCAAAGGCATCACTGCTTCAGTCCCTTTACATTGTCCTTCCCAAAGCTTTTGTCCCTACAAACACCTCTTTTCAGGTGCATTTTCCAGCCTTTTGGTAGCTGTGACTTTTCCAGTGCCAGACAGCCACTGGAAATAGGTTCTAGAGGGAGTGCTCACAAAGCCAAATCATCATTTAATAATTTCTGGGTTTGCTCTTTGTAGTTACTGTAGAAAAACTCTCCTCTGGAACCACCTTCCTGGGAGCCGCGAGGCCGGAGCCAGCAGGGACTGGTCTCTGTTCTTCACTTGGCCTCTGCTAAATACACCTTTCCTGAGCAGATCCCCCCAGTTTCTGTATCCCAAGAAGGGAATTGTCTCTTCTGGACCAGCAGCTCCTCCGTGTCTGTCCAACAGTTGGTTCTGTCCCTGACCCTTCACACCAGGTCCTCGTGTAATCCCAAGCTGAGTTTTGCTTGAATCGGGGGTTGATAAGGATTCTGTCACTGTGGCAAAGGAAGTCTGGGAGCAAACACAGGTCCCAGTTCATACCAGTTACAGCTGTGTGGATTTCTGAAGCCCTGAGGCTCAGAAGTTCTGCTCTCCACACAAAGCAGGGCAGTTGGGAAGCCAGCACAGCCAGGTGGGACAGGAGTCCTTGGCACGCTCTGGGGACTCTGAGCACCTCAGGGGATCCACTTTGGGAGGGCTGGCTGGGATTCCTGTAGCACATCCTGTTCTGTGTGTGCAGAGGGGGGTGCAGAGGGCTCTGAGGACTTGGAAGGAGAATTCCAGGGAGACAGACTCTCTGTTGAGTGGAGAATGTGCGAGTGGGAATTGTGTCGCTGAGGATGGGTGGGCAGTGAGAGCTGTGTGGGCAGGCAGCACCCAGAGGGGTGGGGATGGAATTCTGGAGCCTGTGCACAGTTCCAGGGAGAAGCAGGTTCCTGGCCCTCAGCTGTGAGGAAGAGGAGCAGCGACACAGCGAGGAAGGTCCCTGAAGTGTCCGTCTGGGCAGCTTTGCCTTTCCTTAGGGAGAGTTAAACACACGCGGGGCAGTCTGGGTCCCACTCCCCCCTGTTTGCCTTTCAGTTCTGGAGTCAGGAGCTTGGAGGAGCTTTGCCTGCAGGTCACAGATCTCCTGCCTGGCCTCAAGAAGCTGCGGAACCTGCTCCCAGAGCACGGCTGCCTGCTGCTGTCTCCAGGGAACTTCTGGCAGAACGACCGGGAGCGCTTCAATGCCGACCCAGACATCTTCAAAACCATCCACCAGCATGAGCCAAAGACCTTGCAGACGTCAGCCACCCTCAAAGGTGAGGTGCTGCAGTGCCAGAGAAGCTGTGACAGTTGCCTGTGGATTCCATTGTTATTCCATCCTCGCTAATTCCAGCATCTGGATCGCTCCAAGTACCGATATGGGTGGCATTTTGTCACTCACAGCAGCTGAAACGAAGCTGCCCAATCTGTGACAGCTCTTATTTTATATCTATGTTTGAGCTCAGATTGTGGAAGATGAATAATTCACTCAGTCAGGCTC